TGCCAGCCCAATTTTGTCTAGTTCCTGGTATTCAAAGGAATTGGTTGAATAAAGAACTGACATTTTTTTTCGCATAGCATAATATTTGTTAATGTCTAATGTGGTTAAGATTACGAAAAGGTTTACAAAGAATAACCAAATTGAAATTGTTTTTTCAAAAAAAGTATTGACTAATTAAGGATTGGGGATTGTCAAAAACTCAAAAAAAAGTTTTAAAAAAGCAACCGGTCTAGTTCTTGGCAGAGGTGGTAGGATTTGAACCCACAACCCTCGGATCTGAAGGCCGATGCTCTACCAGTTGAGCTACACCTCTTTCTCTTCCTTATTTTTTAAGCACTTCAACAAAAAAATTATTAACAACACTTACTAAACATTGTAATATTACTCTCATAATGATTAGGTCAGTTAATCCATTCCCTAGCAATTAAGGAGTTGGTGGTTTGTAATACTGACATTTACTAATCTTTTCATAATTAACGTTCGCTTCTTGTCTTTTAGTAATTTGTTATTTAATTGAGAAAAACCAAAAAACTAGACAAGAAACGTGAAAAAGGTAATAATTCTGACTTTGTAATACTTTGGTGACCCGTACAGGAATCGAACCTGCCAAATATAGGGATGAAAACCCTACGTGTTAAACCACTTCACCAACGGGCCCCATATTTTATTAATTATTCAACCACTCACGTAATTCAGCGATAGGCAAATAGCCCCGCTTTTCCTTAATCATTTTTCCGTGACGGAAAAGAAACAACGTCGGGACGGACTGGACCCGAAACTCCGTCCGACCGGCCAGTTCAGGGAACTTTTCCGCATCCACCGCCACAACCAACAAATCAGTTCTTTCATTTAATATTTGGCTAATATTAATTTGTAATTGTTGGCACGGACGGCACCAGGAGGTCGCAAATTTTACCAAAACGGCCTCGTAAGGCTGACGGAGCAAAGAGTCAAACTCGGCAGCCTGGTTTAATACTTGCAACATAATGAGAATTTGGCGAGGAAAAATTTCCAAAAACTTTTAGGCTTCTTTTTCTTCTTCGGTAGCTTCTTCTTCGGTTTCTTCGCTTTTAACAAATCAGCGGATAAGGAAATACCCAATGACCGCTACAAATAGCACCATACCACCTATTACACCGTAACCCAACAAGTTAGTTGAACCTTCTTGGAGTAGCACTTTTTCTTCAAT